TTTAAAATATTTTAACATAAAACAAAATTAAACTGTGTTGGGGCAAGGCATGTTGACTCATGACTATAATCCCCGCACTCTGGGAGGCCGAGGTGGGAGGACTGCTTGGGGCCAGGAGTTTAAGACTAGTCTTGGCAACATAGTAAGACCCTGTCTCTACAAAACAAAACAAAAAACTGGCCGGACACAGTGGCTCATGCCTGTAATCCCAGCACTTTGGGAGGCTGAGGCAGGTGGATCACGGGGTCAGGAGTTTGAGACCAGCCTGGCCAATATGGTGAAACCCCTTCTCTACTAAAAATACAAAAATTAGTCAGGCATGGTGGCACGTGCCTGTAGTCCCAGCTACTAGGGAGGCAGAGGCGGAAGAATCCCTTGAACCCAGGAGGCGGAGGCCACAGTGAGCTGAGATTGCGCCACTGTACTCCATCCTGGGTGACAGAGCGAGACTCTGTCTCAAAAAACAAAAAGAAAAACAAAAACTCCAAAACTGTGTGTGTGTGATTGTTAAAGCAGTTCATTTTTGCTGTAAATTCTGAAACATGTAGGAAGAAAAAGTCATTTATTAACCCAATATTCAGAGTAACTATGGTTTAACATTTTCATGTATTTCCTTTAGACTATTTTCTATACTTTCATTTTTATCAGGAAACTATTCTTCCCCTCTTTATTGACTAAACTATGTTTGAGTCCCTGGTAGTTTATAAAATTAAAGCTAGTTTTTTTATTCATTAATATTGGAAAGATTCTAAGTTTTAGTATTAAAGGAATGTTTCTTTTTTTTTTGAGACAGAGTCTCGCTTTGTCGCCCAGGCTGGAGTGCAGTGGCGCGATCTCGGCCTCGGCAGTCACTGCAAGCTCCGCCTGCCGGGTTCACGCCATTCTCCTGCCTCAGCCTCCGAGTAGTTGGGACTTCAGGCGCGCAGCACCACGCCCAGCTAATTTTTTGTGTTTTTAGTAGAGGCGTTTCACCGTGTTAGCCAGGATGATCTCCATCTCCTGACCTCGTGATATGCCTGCCTCCGCCTCCCAAAGTGCTGGGATTACAGGCGTGAGCCACCGCGCCGGGCCAAAGGAATGTTTCTTAATCTCAATGAAACTGTGAAAGTAAAAATGGCTTCTTTAGATATAGCTGCATTTCTCTTTTTTTAATAAACTATGCACTTGCTACCTAACTCTAGTATTGGATTGTCACTGCAGAGAAGCAGTTTATTGACTGTAACACATTAGATTTAAATGGATTCCCTGGAAGTGAACCAAGTATTATAAATTCCTTACTTGGCAACCTACTCTATACTGGAAGTAAAAAGTTTTCAGGTAAATATGCATATGATGCATATCTCATAATGATAGGCTTGCCAAGAGATATTTCAAAATAATAGATCCCATTTGCGCTGGTGAAATAAAACAATTTAAGGAAGATGAGGTTGTATTTTACTAGAATAAAATTTCACAAACAGATTTTTCTTTTAGGGATACTCTATTGTGAGGCTGGCACCTCTGATGAATTCTAGTAAAGTATTCAGCCTCTCACTTGCTGTCAGGGACCTCTTAAAGATCTGTCCCAGTTCCCATAGCAGGGAGCATAGTTTTGGAAGCAATCTTGGACATCCGTGCTTGACAATAGGCTCTTTAATTGCCACATACTTAAAGATTTCAATCTGACTCGAAACAGAAGCCAAACTTGAAAGTAACCTACTAAGATAACCAATGAAAACAGTGCTCATTCTAAATCTGTATAGGAACTATATAATGTGTCTTTAGCCTTTCTCTGACATGACGTCAACCCACTTAAGTCAGGATCCAAAATGGAAATACTATTCTAGTCCTACCAAGACAATATAAAATTGAAATGTGAAAATATGTAGTAAAATAATTTTAGTTGCTTATTTTTCACCTTTTGTCCTTTTATTATAGTCAAGAAAATTAATTTGTATAAAGTGTAAAAATAACATCTTCAGAATGAATCACCCTTATTACATTCTGAAAATAAGAACAGACTGCTATGGAAAAGGCAAACAAGAGTTTCTGGAAATATAAATATGATTGTGGATGCTAAAACTTTAATGAATAGATAACTGATACAAGGGTAATAGTGAAAACTAAATGAGTCATTTGCAGATAAAGCTGAGTAAATCTTAAAAAATGTAGTAAGGGAGGCCAGGTGTGTGGGGAGGGGAGGGAAGGGGATGGG